TGTACGGTTTTTAAAAATTTTGAATTTCTTATTATTGTTGGTTCAGTAGAAGTTGGGCCTATTGGCTCAAGGCCAATGTACCAACATATTCGTCTATGTTACTATCTGCTATAATGTATTTTAGATTAACATTTGTTAATCGCATAAGTGATTGTAGAGAAAAATTTTCAGAAAATCTCTAATTTAGATGATTAATTATGTACCGTTCAAGTGAGCAATAATAAATGTATCCTTTTAATTGGTACGTTGTACAACTTTACGGAACAATGCCAAAAGATTGAGCCAGTGGAAATAGATAATGTCATTTTAAATTTTCGAGATACACCTTGGCAATGATTGCGAAACGATATCATTATTCTCTTTTGGCAGACAATTCATTCTAAGAATGTCCTCGGGAGTAAATTACTATGCAAGATGTAGCAGCAGATTACACCTGAAACAGTATCTAACATACGTTGAGTTGATGATAGTCTCGTTTTATTTATTATAATATGTTTCCCTGATAATGCACGAATTCACGTTCGAAATTTCATTGGTGAAAAGAACCAGTGAATCTGTATTGTTAAATGTGGCGGTGATTATTAAAGTGACCTAATTCGTATATTTTTCGTTTCGAGATATTTAGATTTTTTCCTTCGGGTAAAATATATTTTTTTCGTTGTGTAAGAAAATATTTCACAAAATACTTTCTCTTACACTGTGAATCTTTTCATAGAAAATCTTCTATAATGTAACATCTTTTCTATGAGAATATCGATATAAATCTTTTCATAAAAGATTAGAAAAGTTTGTTTTTTTTTAACGGGGTCCACCCTAAAGCGTCTTAAAATAAAGGAAAAGTTTGGGAATTGTTTTCATAGGTAGCAACTAAATGAAAAGCTTCAATTTTTTTCGGAAGATATAAATGTAAGTTTCAGGCTTTTTCTCCAATTTTTAAAAAGTGAAAATGTTACAAAGTGAAGGAGTTATTGCGAAACCTCTTCTGCCAGAACATCGATTGCCTGCCGCTAAGAATTGTAACGTTTGAAATGAAAAATTATTTTTGATTTACATGTAAAAATGTATTACCTATAATGTAGCCTACGGTTTTTTTCGACATCTCAATTATTTAATTTTTTAGAAACGTTCAAAGTTGATTTTTGTTTGATAAGTGATTTTTCCTCTTCAAACTGCCACCATTTCTATAATAATTACAATTTTTGAAAAATTGTTCGGCTACATTGTAAGTAGTACATTTTTATTTGTAAATTAACAAGAATTTTTTATTTCAGACGTTCCAATCCTAGCAGAAGAGGTTTTGCAATTAGCGAATAACTCCTCCATTTTGTAACATTTTTAATTTTTAAAAATTGGAGAAAGAAGCTGAAAGTTACACTTGTATCCTCTGAAAAAATTGAAACTTTTCATTTAGAAGTTATCTGTGAAAAAAATTTCTCAAACTTTACCTATTTTTAGACACCTCAGAGTGGTATACCCCATGAAAATGAGATTTATATACTTACATATAGAAGAAACGATTTTCCACGAATAGATTATGTATTTATTCTGTGAAAAAAAAATGATATGCTATTTAGAAAGATCGACGTAACGAAAAATAAATGATAAAATCAATTTTGTTAGATTTTTCACTTGTACCACTTTCATAATTACCGCCAAAAGTATGCACGTACTGTACAACAAAAATACGCTACTGCTTCATAATATTTGGATGCCGTTAACAACATACAAACAGAAATTCCTTTCTTCTTTATTCCCAAACAGTACTTCAATTAAGTACAAACACCTTTATATCTGAAAAAATCTAAAAAACAGTAAAGCTGGATCCACAAAATTTATAATAACTATACCAAAGTGTAGAAAAGATTTAAATTTACGATATAACCAATGATACGACACCACGTGACCACGTCACTAGGCACACTAAGTACCACGTGACCATATCATAAATCTGATTCCTTTTAAAAATTCAGATATAGCGTTGCTCTGTAAATAGAATTCACGCTAACGGGATTCACGTGAAGAAAGGAGGAAATAAAATACGAAAGAACAAAAAACCCATTCGATACCAGTCATACGCATGTACTATATGTTTTCATGTGTTATATCGTTAAAGTCGAGACGCCGACGTCGCCGTGCACCAAGCGGGGGAAGATGCTTTCGTTCCAGGCATCTATCTCTCAAAAAATATCGGTCAGTGTAACGCGAGCATTTCTACATTGAAGACGGGTCCACGCGATAGTGAGAGAATCCCTGTTCGTCTCGAACAATTATTTTTGTTACAGTAAAACCAGTTCAACAAGAAATTTCGTTAATTCTGCCAAAAGATTAATACACAAGCATATGGTGAATATTATCTGTAACACCAGTAAATAATATCTGCGAGATTTAAAAGTCAGGCGGAAAAAATTATGTTGTTATGAAAACTACACTGTTATTGTGCAAGTGAATCTTATCGATTAATCGATCAGCTGAGACAGAGGGTGAGAACTCTTCTGCATGCTATAGTGACCTTGACAACGTGCTACTGGCGCACCCTAAAGGGTGTGACTTCCGATCGATATTCTCTCTGTCAATACATTTTATCTACCTGAAACTCTTATCGAAATATTACAGCACAGCTACCAGTATCTTACTTAAACATCGAAATAATTTGATATTTTTTGTGCACTAATTAGGAAAAATGAAAAATTTTTATTTTTCACACGTTGTTCAATTAAAACTGAAACAGTACACTTTTAGAAACGATTAGATTGCTTTAGATAAGAAGAGGATCATCTTATCGAACAATTTAAAAAAAGTGGATTAAATATCAGAAATAAATATTACATGTTCAGTGAAATGTGTTGAAAATTTTTTTTAATTATTTTTTGACTACTTTGAATCGTATTATCGACGAGAAATGAGTAAGCATGAAAAGCACACAGAATTTTATGTAAGAGATATTTTTCGTATATGGGTCAATGCCGAGGTAGTGATAAGGTGGGCTTAAATTTGAGGGTCGACGATCAAAAACTGTGACACATTGTCAAGGCCTACCTTCACTGATCTCCTTTAATGGCATGGTATCTCTTGGTTAACATGACCACGCAAAAATATGATGAAATTCACATCGAATCCAAAAATGTATCGCTTGGATACCATGTTTCGTAAAAAACGACAAATATTTAGTTTGTTCACTCGTATATTTTCATTTATTTCGTATATTTCAATTATAAAGGCAGCAAATGATAATGAAGTTTTCTTCTTAATCATGTTACAAATAATCGATTTGAATTTTACAAATATTTATAACAAGTTTGCAATGCGTCTTAATTATTTTCTTTACAGTTATTGTAATTCGAGTAACGTACATTATCTGATTCAAATGTAAATTTTTTCATATCATAAACTATGTTGATAAAGGAGTCACATCTGGTGTTACTAAAATTTCAAATTTCGACAAAAATGTTTCATTCGTTAAGTTTTAAAACTACTATGTAAATTTATCTGCACCAACACGTCACTGGTTAACGATTCTTTCAAAGTAATCGATATTTCAAACAAGGAAAATATGAAACAAAAATCTATCACGAAATCTAAAACGAAAATCTATTGCAATAACGTACGTAAACGCCTTTAGCACTGGAAGAAGGTTAGATACGTCAGAAATAACTACATATATAGCGTTATGAAACCACAATGAAAACAAGAGTACGTAGCAGGTGAATTGGTGTAGCGATGTACATATGTAGATGTAACTACAAAAAAGATACTCAGATACGCCTTTGAAATATCAATTATTGGTCATCTGAATCAACGTCGTGTGACGAACGTTTAGTGATATACTTGTAAGCTGGCAGTTCAAAGATACATATATATTCAAACAGTGTGACGTAGTTCGCAGTCG